CAGCCAGGCCAGAGCCCAGCGCCGCCGCAGGGACGGGCTTCCCGGCTTGGCCGGGGGATTTGATTCCCCGAACTCGGGGCTCACATGACGGATGACTGTCGTCGGAACCCCCTGCTTCTCACGGGTTTCGCCCTCGTCTGTGGACTTGGCTTTCCTCTGGGTTTTGTTTGGATTTTTTTGCGAGTGTCTTTTTTATTGTTTGTTTTTTTTGGAGCATTTTTGGGGGGGAGGGGGAGGATTGGAGGAGTATTTTTCTCCCCTCCTTTTCTGTTTTCAAAAGAGTTCCCCCATCATTACGTAGCAGCCAGATTTTGTTGGGAGTATTTCCAGTGTAACAAACACGTGATTGGCGGGGGAAGGGAGGAAGGGAGGGGGAAGAGGGTGTCAACTCATCTGCACTGAAACTCGCTGTGGCCGATACACACCTGCCCTGCCGTGCAGTGACCCGGCTGCAGCGCCGAGCGGGCGCACGGCAGAGCGGCGGCCCGGTACGCAGCCCTGGATTCGAGGAAAGCACCTGACCCTCTGTTCGTCACACCCCTGGAAAGCCCCCTTCACCCAGCTATTGGCTATTCTGCTTGGGTTGCTCGCACTTTGTTTTTTTCCACAAAAGCCTGGGGGAAGGGGGAATCTGCTTTATTCCAGCACAGGGTGGAAAAATTTTCTGCACTCTCAGAGTTCTGTGGGACAGGGAAACTACCCTGATCCAAACAGCAACAGGCAGAGCACTGGTACAGACAGGATGCCAGGATTTCTAAGTTTTATCTTCTGCAGGCTTAATGCAAACAGTCTGTTTTAACCAGATAAACAATTCAGCTAGGCTACTGCTGTTCCTGTTGCTAGGTAAATGCACAAACACACCTGTAGTGCTGAATCCAAGTCTGTTGGAACCTCACGGTGCTCTTTACTGCCACCGTGATCACCCACCACCACCCTCCAATTCTCATAGCTGGGTCCTTTAAAATGAAATCCAGAAAAGCCATAGGGGTACCATGGGCAGGGAAGGGTCCTTGCTTTCATCTGCTTACGAAAGCATTTACATATTGCGTACACTTAATCACATGCAAGCCCCTGTAGAATTGTGTCTCACTTCAAAATATTATACAGAGAAGATAAAACCTGAAAGAGTAACACTTCAAGAGCAGAAATAGTAGGAGAGTTAAAAAAAAAATCTACAGGCAAATATACATATAGGTATAGCAAAAGCTAAACAGAGGCCCCCCTATTTTTCTACATTAACAAAGCCATTTAAGGGAGCTTAAAAGGAAAGACTAGAAACTTTAGTGGCACTTTTCCAAATTATTTAGTTATAAAAGTAATCTGAAACACTGCCTTTACTTTAAATATTATTCCCACTGCATTTGAGCAAAAAAAAAAAAAAATAGCAGTACATGAGTTCACTCTGTTCAAGGCTACACTTCACACACCCAGCCTTTAAGCCTCATTGCAGATGACCTGTTGAAGAGTAGAACTTGGTCACAGAGCTCCTGTTGAGCTCAGAGGTGCATCTGTGAGGATCAGCTTGCAGGAGAGGGTCTTCAACTAATCTGCTAACTACTGTTTGCAAGTCCTGCAGAACAACAAACTTTTGAAAGCAAGTGACGTATTTGTGAAGTCACAAAACTTGTCAGGGGAATTAGCAGCACATCTCTTTTCCTTAAACTAGATTAACTTCACAAGAACGTTTTCAGACAGAAATTATAAGAGAGAACATAAGACTTGCAAAATGACAACTTATTTTATGAGGAAAAAAACCTCCTATGCATACATAATTCCATGGGGAGATTAACATACAAGCCACAATCCCCCTACCTCCCAGGGAGGCAGATGGGAGGGAGAGAGTACAGAAGTGAGTTTTGAGGGGGAAAAAAATTACTGTTCCTTTCAGTTGGAACAAACCCAGTATCTTTTTCATTACTGTTTACTTTTCCCCCCTTTCATGAGATCAGCAGGGATATTATTGGAAACAGTAATTCTATAAACGAACACAGCCAGCCTGTGCATTAAAATTCTGACTATCTCCAAAGAGACACCCAGGCAGTTCTCAAAAGCAGCTACCATCAGAATCCTGCTTAGTTCTACCATGGGAGAACTGAAGCTGCAAGATGGGGTTTGCTGGGGGGAGGAAACAAGAACCATATAGAAATTTCTAGTTCAAGCTGACTTTACAGTTTATGGACAGAATAAACAGTGGTACAAAAAAAAAAAAAGCCTACTTGTGTAGCCAAGCCATATCAGACATCTGTGCAGAAATGTGATAGGGAAAAACATGTACTTGTGCTCAGCCTGAGTAGTTTCAGAACTAATTAATTGTTCTGAAGTACACATGTTCTAAGGAGCTCACATGTATTTGTAGCCTTCATTGCAGCTGTTAAAGGCAGATGAAAACATATATAGGTATTTTGTACTTAAGTGTACCATACACACCCATAATTATAGTCCCTCATAATTCTTCCTTCCTTTTTCCCAAGTAGCATATAGATCAGAGCAATCCTGCAAACTATTTCTGTTCAGGTCTAACATATTCTGCACCCTGGTTCTCACAGCAGCTCTATTATATCTTCAAAGGTGCTAGTTGATACTCCTACCTTGAAACAGATGAAGTAACTCCAAAATGATTTATTATTCCCATCCAATTATGAAAGAATAAAACACACTGAAGCCCAATGTTGGTAGAATATTAAATCATAAGGAGATTTTTCATCAGCATACACTTGCTAAATATTTAACACCACCTAACAAAAAGAAATTCTACAATTTTGGAATTAAATGCATTTCAGCAATGACGTGAATTCTAGGTCTCCAGATTATTATTTCAATCATTCATTAGTTCTCTTTCTTCACCAAGGGTTTTAGAACAGGATCAAAAAAACTTACCTTGTAAAATCACAATTAATGTCACTATGTTTTGGCAACCGAACAAGTAGATGAAAAGATAAGCCACAAAAGAAATTGTAAGACGAGTTTTTCCATCACTACTTCATAAGCACCAGCTCCAAAGTACACAGTACTGCCCTACTACTGCCCCCTACTACTAAGGGCCTTAAGAAACACCTTTATAAGTCATCACAGCTAGCCCAAGCACTGATTCAGCTGCTCAGATAGCAAGCCTACTCCAACAAGCCAATAGAAGCTGAAACCAAGTAAGCATTTAAAAAAACCCAAACAAACACAAACACCAAAAGAAGCCTACTACTTCCTATAAAGCACGAAGCTGCCAAGAGAAGCACTGCCATACTAAGCACACAAACTTCTTTTAGCGTTACCACGTTGTATGAAGAACCTACGAGCAAAGAAACCTTAGTGAAGCTCACTTAGCTCAACCCAGCCCAGCCCAACCCAACCCAGCCCAGCCTAACCGAGCCCACCTCAATCCCCAGGAGGAAAAACTCCGAGAGCAAAGGCTGCCCCGCGGGCTGCCCGAGTTACCTGCGGCCTCCAGCGCTCCTGGCCCGACCCTGCTGCCCGACTGCCGAGGCACTACTGCCGCCCGCCCTTCCCAAGCTTTCAAAGGAGGCGGGAAGCAGCGCCAGGCCAATGGCAGCGGGAGCCGGCCCAGGGAGCCGCCCCGCAGGTGCCCGGTCGGGCTCGGGAGGGAGCGGGCGCAGCTGATCCCGCTGCCGCTCTGAGCGGCGTCCTGCTTGGCGCGGCCCGAGGCAGCTCCCGAGGGCAGAGCCTTCCTCCAGCCACTCTCTTCCCACTTAAGAGACTTACAAACCTGTGATTATTGTCTCCCGTTTGTCTAACCTTGGTGCTCTATACAGTTTACATTCCTCAAAAGTTGCTGTATTAGCTGTTTTCATAATCAGCAGCTAGGCAGAGATACTAAGTTTTTCAAACTATTTTTCCAAAGGCTTATGTAGTATTGAGAATGTCCCTGCATAGTGTCAGGAAAAAACAAAAAACAAAACAACCTGAAGCTTTGTGGAATTATACTCCCTGCTAAAGCTCATGAGAATACCGAATTTAGACTACAGAGATTTTTTTTGTTTTGTTTTAACAAAGCAGTAAGTTAAAACAAACTTTCTACTTTCCCCTCAATATTTCACTTACATAAGCAGAAAAAGCTGCATCACAGTTATCCTATTTTTTCCTTTAGATACTATTGTGAGATCATAGAATCATAGAATGGTTTGGGTTGGAAGGGAACCTTGAAGATCATCCAGTTCCGACCTCCCTGCTGTGGGCAGGGACACCTTCAAATAGAATGGGTTGCTCAGGCCCCATCCAACCTGGCCTTGAACACTTCCAGGAATGGGGCATCCACAACTGCCCTGGGCAACCTGTCAGTGCCTCACCACCCTCATAGTAAAGAATTTTTTCCTAATATAATTAGAAACAAGATGGGGTGGAGAGGGTCTGTTTGCTTGTTTGATTTTGGTAATTCTTTTAATATTCAAACTATCTGGAATCAGACACACTTCAGAAGCTGTGAAATAAGAGATCTGGTTCAGTTTCTTTAAACCAGTTTCTCTTATGAGTGAAGCCAAAAATTGATTTTCTATCTAAAAATATATGCATCCAGAATCACTGCCTCTGGCTTCAGAGCACTTTCTAGACACAACAACGGCACATGAATTAAATGCTTTTCTTGTATGAAACGAGGCTTCAGAAGAAATAGCAAGAGTACAGGTCCTTACTTGACAGAGGGTGTAGGGAGGAAACGGGAGATCGGGGAACAATAAAAATAAATTCTGGTTTACTGTCTCTATATGGAAGCAAAGTGATTCTAGGAAACTGCCTCAAGCAGAAGTACAGGAAATATTCTCAACCTTTTTAGGAAAAGAGGTAACATTTTTGGAAACAACTAGATGATCAGAAGAATGATGCCAGACAGCTAAAAAGGCTTATTAAGGCTTTTCTGTAACATCATAAGGATTTCTGGATATGACATTAAATGCATGAAAATTGAGAGAAGACTTCTGTGCTGTAACAATTGTCACAAAGTCAACTGACAGGTGAATTGGCCCATTTTCTTTGCTACTCAGCCTTATCTACTATATCTTCTCTTCATGCTCCTGAATAGTTTTCCTCTCTCACTTCTCTGATTCCATCTTTCCCACATAGCTTCCTTTTAATTTCTTGGCCTTAGGACTTTTCTGCAGCAGGCCTGTGTTCTGAAGCAGAATAGTTGGACTAAACCTGTGACTGCTAGACAATGTCCTCTTCAACAAAAAGTTTATAGGGCTTTTCCCCAGTAAAGCAAAACAAAGACTCCTAAATTTTAATAAAACTAGCAGTAGCTGAACAGGAGTTGCTAGATGATCTCTGCTTGTCTCTACTTGCCTCTGCTTTTTCTATGAAGCAGAATTTTATCTTATTCAGCTGGGAGAGGAGAAAAAAATAGAAGGAAAAGGAAGTAAGACTGGAACGCAAATGAGCAATACAAAACTGCTAAGATTTACCCCTCCTTATTGAAGTTTATGAGCAATATAATTTTTATCTCATTATCTTACATTTTAGGATTCTATTACTATGAAGACTTTTTTTTAGCAAAATTATTTTTAAACCTAAGCAGTTGACACAATTGCATGAGGGAGAGTTGGCCTACTTAAAAAAAAAAAAAAGTGACTGCTGTTATCATCTGAGTGTAAATTCAGTATGAAACATATGGACAGATCTATCATACTAGGGTAACCTCCTGTCTAATCTGCTGATCTGGCTCTGGTAGCAGGCAGTGCAAGAAGCTTCAGAAGAGGCACAATGGTAATATCAATAAAAGCTGGGTAAAGGACAGAAAGGAGTAAAGGATCCTTCTATTCTAGCTGCTTATCTACTTACCCTTCCAAATTAGAATCATAGAATTGTTAAAGTTGGAAAAGACCTTTAAGACCATCAAGTCCAACCATTTACCTAGCACCACCACCATGTTCACCATTAAACCATGTTCTCAAGTGCCACATCCACACATTTTTTGAACACTTACAGAGATAGCGACTCCACCACTTCCCTGGGCAATCTGTTCCAAGGCTTTACAACCCTTTTCATAAATTTTTTGTCCCTAATATCTAATCTAAACCTCTTCTTGTGCAACTCGAGGCCATTTCCTTTTGTTTTCTTTCTGCATAGCATAACAGGAGGTGCATTTTCTCCTTTTAAATAAACAGACCAGCAACCAACAAGTAAGTTTTAATGGAGTTATACACTGAACACCAGAAAATTGCTGCTTTTGGTATTTTTTTTATTTGTATGTTCTGATACTCCTCTGTTAAGTAAGATCTTAATACAATCCCATTCCCATTTCTCCCCAAGTTTAAAAAAGTTTGAGGGAAACTACAGAAGGTATACAAAATAGTCTCAAATGAAATTTTGCTATGACTTTGTCCAGGACTGTAGAATAAAGTCTGTGAAATGGCTAAAGACATTCTGACAGATATCCTTCAAGTAAGTGAATGAGCCATGAACCTCCAAGATAAAGAAGCAAAAGACAGAGCTGACTCATATATCAGTTCTGAATTTCAAATATGACATGCTTCTTTTGATATTCTCTGCATTAGCAGGACTTTAACACGTCTTCTTTTTCACAGGACTCAAAAGATAAATGAGTTTGGTAAAAAGATGCATGTCACCTTTTGTTCCACTATATTTGAAATGTATTCACAGTAGTTTTGGGCTTATTCTTATATGGGAGCAAAATGCCTTGGTGCTACTTATTAAAGTCATGGCCAAAAGATTTAGTGCAAAGGCCACAATTGAGAAAATGTTGTTTAGTGGATGATTTTTTAGACTGAAAAGCATAAATCTTTATTGCAATTTCTATGTATCATCACACAGATATGATTAGATGGCTTCTAATGGCATGAAGTCAAAGTAAAGGGATCAAGGTATTGTTATGTCCTGCCAAATGCACATTTACCATCATAAAAATATGTTCTAGAGTGGCTTTTCCTTTGATTCATATTTTCAAATTGATTTGGAAGAGGATGCAGAATGGGTCATAATACAGGGAAAAGGGCTCTTCCTATAATCCTCTGAGAAAAATGTTCTCAAGTCTCTAGCTTGAGAAGAGGTGCAGATTTCAGAACAGATGAGGAGGCTAACAGCTTTCCATGAAATGTCTCAATGGAAAACACAATAGCATAATCTTGACTTTAGGTACTACAAGTTTATATGTGGCAGACCAATGAGATGTCTTCATTGTTAAGAGTCTAGATTCTTGTTCTGCTCTTATAAATAAACCACAGGGAGTTGTAAATATAGATATCTCCAAGGTTGCACACACTAGGAAAAGCAAGAGAAATTAAGATGGAAATGGAAGTGTATTCTGCAATCTGAAGTTGATAGGAAACTTCTATCTAGTAGGAATATAATTGATACTCATTAATTATGCACTGAACTAATTTGGCATTCTGCCAATTCAGGGATAGGCATAAAAAGTATAAAAGTATTAAAAATTTACAGTGGAATAGGCTTTGAAGAAGGAACTATACTGACACCAGAAATATGAGGATCCTTATCTTCCTTTCAGAGTACGAAGAAAAGCAAAGCAGATATCATACTCTGACTGGAGAGTAGTTCTCCCTTCTGACTCAGGAGTAACTGAGTGACTTGTGGAAATGCTGCTGATCATATAACTACTATGAGAAAGCACTGGCATCCACAGCCCTGATGATTATACTGCAAGTAAGTTACTGATGTAATGTAATTAATGAAAAAAAAATAAAATTAACACATTTCCCTGAACCAAAAGCAGACTTTGTTGATCCTCCCACAGAAATAATTCCAGGCAAGCATTTTTCTAGTCCATCTGAAAAATTTGCAGTACCCATGGTCTTTTCTAAGGCAAAAGAAAAAAAAAAAGAACAAAAAAACCTGATGCAAATATCCAGTATGGACTCTCACTCAAATCTCTTATTTCCACTCTGCTTGATACTTGCATTTTCTAAACATCATTTTATAACTTTGTTAATTTCTTCACAAAAATGTTGAGGGAAGGGCTAATGAGAATACCAGAAAAATACTGCAACACAGAGAACTATGCCATAGTAAGCAATCACGGCTAAACTAGATATTGTAGCCACTGGGAGTTAGTTAATTAGCACCTTCTTCTTCACCTTTCTTCTAGGGCCTGGGACACACGACAGATAGGGATGGCACAATCCACATTGAAAAAGTATTTTCACATCACCTAACACTCATAAGTAATGATTCTATGTTATAAGTCTATGTAATGATTCCTGAAGATTTCATGCTGCATTGATTATGCAAGTTAAACATTGTAATTAGAGGTACTGAGGTTTTTTTAATCTATTTTTAAAACCTATTGTTACTGAATTCAAAATACCATTCTTTGCATCTTAAGGAGTTGTTGTTTTGCTGTCACGTGGAGACAAGGAGAAGGACAAACTAGAAACTGTCCCTCATATATGTGTCCTTATTTGTGATTCTGACTCCTGTCACAGAGGGAAAGAAGGGGAAATTGGATTTTTAGAGTAGGCACGGGATATCTCCTGCAGCAAAAAATATAAGATCTGGAATGTAAGGTGGAATACAAGTGTCTTATATTCCTTACATCTCTGGAATCATGGGGATTAGCAGCCTTTGGCTGAAAGATCATGATCTAGCTTCCACTGGGC